TTTTCTAGTCGGATTCCAATGCAATTCCGTTTCCAGGAATCCGATCGGATTTTGTCGGATGGTCGGATCCGGTAAGATCCGATCGGATCCAGCATCGGATTTGTTGACCTGGGAGGAGGTTAAATCGCACTCAGTGGATTATTACCAACAATACCGAATATGCTTCGGTTCGGTAATTGTTCTTTCACAGAATTAAACCGAAAACAACCAGTTGTTCAAAAGTTTGTAATTAAAAACATAAATATAATCAAGTGCATCGATTCTTTTTTTACTACGTAATAATAGTACTTGGATATATCGGATGATAACTCGATCTGCAAGATTTTGCAGTTAATTGAAGAAAATGATGGAGTTACATGGAATAGCCATGGGATGTAAACAAACATTATAGAATGTAGTATAAAACGGAGTTTCGAAAAGTCAAAAACCTGATTATGTAATAAACTTAATAATAAGTGCGACGTATACTTGTGTATAATATAACGCTGAATCGTCTAAATGATGATCTTCATGATCATATACATCTTTATCTGACAAAAGGGTTATAATCATGCAGTTGTTTGCCAAAACTAACAGGCTGTATATCTTGAAGTGTTATTTGAAGGCAATCAACTTTCACCTTAGTTCTGTGAGTATCAAAACTCCAGATGACAGCGACAGAGTATAATAATATGTAACAATAAGCAAGCCATATTCGTAGAAAACTGTCTCAAATAATTGATAATGCTTCTATTATCGTTCAATGTACTTTGTTCGTTTTAAGGAAGCGATAGAGAAGAAAAACTAGGTTTATTGTTCATATCATGATAATAACATCATCGCTTATAATTGTATTTGGGTAATGATACGAACATTCATCCTTACGTCATCCATTACGAATGTTTCATAGAAAACGAAGAAAAAAATTCAGAAAAGATAGTGTTCATCATTGTTAGTCTGTTGGTGAAAATCATCTCAATCAAGTTAATGTGGCATATATTCGCCTAGCTCCTCTAGTAGCACCACATCTGAGATAATACGATATTAAATAATAATTTCCAATCACAGTAGAAAACGACTGAAATAGATAATCATAATTTCCACACGAATCGTAAACGCAAAAATTCCCTGAATAGCATGAATTTGTTATCGTATGAGCATAATAATTAGTTGATTTACAATTGACATCGTTGTTACAAAACTGTGACCAGCCAGATAAGTCTCCCGTTTCAAAATCACCATTAGTGAGAACATTTGTACTTGTGTTCATATCATTCACAGATATATCATCTAATAACCAATAGGAATTAGCAGGCCCTCCAGCATCACCCGATGCTATAAACGATAGAGTTGATGAAGATTCATTTGCCGTGAAGCCATAAGTGTAATGTGTATACGTGGTCGACGCATTTGACGACGACAAAGTGAAGATTTGTCCCGGAGGATTGTAAACACTGAGACACGATGGTGCTATTGAGAATTAAAATGACATTCAATACACAAGACTAACTGTATAATCAGCAACTTACTTGTTGTTGTTGTTGTTGATGTTGAACTTGTGGATGTTGATGTTGAACTTGTGGTTGATGATGTTGAACTTGTGATTGATGTCGTACCTATTGAGAAACGTGTAAAATAATTATAGTAAGTGTAGATTCGCAAACCTTTCTCTCATAACTCCCATTTCAAACTACGCTCCTTATTACTATACAAATCAATCGAAACATCCATCTTCGAACTTATTCATGCATGAAGCCGAAAAGCCCAAATAAGCATATACACTATTCCTGAGAATATCTTAAATCCTGCCAAGTTCGGTCTCGATCTATACCAGATCCTCAATCGTACTTTCAAACTACATTTGAATACATACTTGTTGCTGAAGTTGTCGAAATCGTAGTAGTTGTAGTGCTTGTTGCCGAAGTTGAAGCTATTATTAGAAAAAATAATCATGTATCGGATTGTATTAAGAGAAAAAGTTGAGGAGATGTCACGATTCGTGACCTACCGTTTTCTTTTATAAATCTGGTCAATTGAGAGTTTAAATTGCCAATCTATTGTTGAACATGCAGTGAAAAACGGTTGATTGTAATGAGTTCCATTAAATTTCAAAGATTTTCTCTGAGTTCAGGCAACTTTTGCATATATTTTAATATAGTTAAATGATCTCATCTCAAGATTCGTTCGGGTAAAAAAATTTCGAAATTGCTTCTTTTTTTCTCATTAGATCTAATTGAATGATTGGCTCGGGTATGGCACATTCAAGTTCAAAAAATGTGTTGTGAAACACAATTTGAAAGAGCGTGTTAAAATGTTTAAGAGTAGAAATTTGGATCCACCCCTCCTAGACGTAACCGACGGCTAAAAACCTCGTCACAGCGCTAACAACATATACAATGAGCCAATATACACCCACTTTCATCCTCTATTCATGTATCTATGAAGATTATCACAGATAGTTCACATTTTGGCAATGATGCAAATGCAGAACAATTATTTAGCAAAGATCTCCGTTGTAATACTAGAAACAGATACATCGCTTTTCTCATTTTCAATTCAGCCAGGTGTTGGGCTGAAATCTTTTTTTATAGTTAAAATAGCGTTCGTCAGAGTAATCCTGGATCAACCTCGAACCTTGACCACATGACTTGTCTAAGATATCTATTTATTTTGACGGTCTATCACTATAACTTGAAAATCAGAGCTTGCATCTACTAGAATAATTAAAATTGAGAAAAGGTCGTAAGCCCCCACAAATTTCTATTCAAGTAAGAATGCGCAAATCTATGTCATCCTATTGTTTTGATTCATATTGACTTACTTGTTGATGTAGTTGTGGTAGCAGTCGACGTTGATGTTGTCGCTGTTGTAGTCGTCGTAGATGTTGTTGTCGTCGTTGACGTCGTTGACGTTGTTGTCGTCGTTGTCGTTGATGTTGTGCTCGTAGCAGTCGTCGTTGATGTTGCTGTTGTTGTAGTTGTCGTTGATGATGTCGTTGTTGTAGTCGTCGCTGATGTTGCTGTTGTAGCAGTCGTCGTTGATGGTGATAAGGTAGTTGTATGTGCTATAATGATCATGTTGTTATTATGTAAAGATAAACTAACATGAAAAATAAAAAACGCAATGCTTACGTGCGGCAAAAATAAATACAGAACCAATAGCTACAGTAAATAGAAAACCAAAAGTGACGGCCAAGCAAATGCAGCACACAACTGGATTGTCACAACATATCCTACGATTAAGAGCCATAGTGATAAAATAAATGAAATATACTTATTCAGATAGCGAGCTGACATATGACTGACAGATTGTGATCCTTATTACTTAACTCAAACAGAACAGATATTTCTTTTTAAGTGCAGTGAAATATTCAATACTCAATTGCAAAATAGAAAGCACTCGAAAAAGAGACAATTAAATATAATAAGGTTAAATTTTTTACTATAGTATATCCTCCAAGACTATAATTGAATATTTTGACATACTTACATTTGATATCCTTCTTCGGCATTTGAATTCCTTACAGTTTCCTCCCATGTATCTTCGATATCTTCAATCCTATCATCCTGCATACATTTCACCTGTGTGTTCATTGACTAGAGAATAAAACATAAAATTAGATGAAGTAATTTTCTTTGGACTCAAATATGGACTTACCGATGTCGAAGTAAAATTCCTATTGTTGCTTATTGTGTCAATCGGTGAAGCTTGACTTGGACGTAAGCAAGTATTACAAAGACAACAGAAGTTCATGAAGACGCGCACGAACAGAATATTTTTTATTCTCATCTTGAGTAAAATCACTTGGCCAATAAATTCAATTTTTGTGTTATACTAAATCGAACTTTCTTTTCTTCGCGAAAAAATGAGCGAAATCGTAATTTTAAGCACTTCTATTTGCATCCTTCTTGAATCAAAAAAAGGTGCATTCGGAAGCCAATAGTAGTTTTCCATTTCAGATTAAATTAGTTCCATAGAAATTGAAACTTCGATGCATTTCACAAAGGATAATACATTCGAGTTTTGATCTATTTTTATATTAATATCATCAACTTGTTTGGCTACGCACAATGAAATTCCACAAAAACATATATACTTACACTATATCTCGAGGGTGGTAGTCAGAGTCTCTTTAGTATCTTCAACCTATAATTCACATCTATATTTTCATCCTCAGGATACATAAGAATAACTAAACATATATTATAGCGCTCGAAACGTTGGTGTTCAAGTAAAATCTCATCTCACAAAATTGAAAAATGTTATTATTATATTAGCGAAACAAGATCATAAAATTCGTTTGCATTATTATTATTATTGACACAGACAGTGTATCTCTCATAATGACATTTTTTTACTGAATTTCTGAATGAATTTGATGCATGAAACAGTATAAGCTATTTTGCTATTCTATTAATACACATCTGTGTTTGAAAGATTTTTATTATTTTGTTTGTTACTTAGTGTGCATCGCTGGATTATGAATAAATTTAGATTATCCTCAAAGCGAAAATATCATTGATGATTTGCGTGTCTTAATGTTAATGCATTCATCGATTCCTGATTCTCTTAAATTTGATAATGAAACGAAATATTTATTCCTCCGACTGAAAAGAGGGCCATATGAAAACGGATGGTTTGAGTGGTGGGTTACTGGCAATAGGTGAATGTTCGATGATCGAGAACTCTTGGTCCAAAGTGCAATCGTAGGATCAACGCTCAAAGATTAAGTGTAGAAATTATGCATTTTACATGATTGTCCAATCAGACAACAAGTCTTGAATCAAGACTCTTGATGCTTCAAAGGTTTTCGCATGATAGAAAGTCAGAAAGGAAAAGAATTTACAGTGAGAAAATGGCAGTAGGAGATTCGAGCAAAAATGTCGAGAATAAAGAGACAAAGTTGTTGTTAATGAGCAGAACAAAGTCCAGTAATTGAGCAAGTGTGTATATATATAGTGTTTACTCCTCAGTCGAGGGTACAACAAATCAGCCTCGACGAGCGTCACTTATTTATTAATTTTATCAAATGAAAGTGCATGTAGTCAAATCGAAATATAATCAACTTGTATAACCAAAGATTTCGAATAAGTTACCATAAACTTTGATTTACTTATTTTCTTTGGTAGATTTTTTAATCAAACATCAGTATCGCATTTTCTACCGCAGCGTACGCGGAAACCATAGCGTCCCATGAAGGGCTAGATAGTAACGAAAAAGTGACAAATACTTCAATTCTCTCTATTATCTTAACAGTTCGTAGGTAGTTAAATGCATCCCGAGAGGACACTTAACGGGTATTTTAAACCATAAAACTTAGAAAAAAAGATCACTTAACCTCACCGTTTTAGTTTGAAAGTGAGACTGATATAATTTAGTCCTATAACATAATCATCCACGCTCCTCATACTCAGATTTGCGCAACAAATTTCATGAATGTGATTATAAGGCAGTTTCTATACGATTTCTCTGTACAGTTGTTCCAACCGTATTGGGACGTTGTCCACATCGACACAATACCAGAATCCATTTCTTGAAATCAGGAAGTACACCGAGATACATCCATGGAAGAAAAAGGCATATTCCATAGATGAGATCGAGTAAATAACCCGATTGAACTGCAGAAAGGAAATTCGGATCGACGAATATTTGATAGACTCCAACCACAAGACATGGTCCCCATCCAATGATGTAAAGAGTCGAAACACAAAACAGTTGTCTAATCATGTGTCGTTGTTGTCGCCAAGACACATTTTGTTGACGACGATGTTTCTGTTGAACAACTCGCATAATCAAGAAGAAATTAGCCAAAGAATCAATGCACATTGGTGACCCATTATTCACTAACCAATCGTATGTTCCCCAAAATCTATCATACATAAGATAACAATCAGTAAATCCGCATAGATTGTTGGTATAATCATACGGTATACGACCATCGCATGGATAGAAGAAAATAATGCATGCATAGAATGTGATCGGATAAACTAAACAAAATAATATTGGCAGATCATAGAATACGATATGTTTCCAGCGAATGCGTAAGACATGACTGCTGAAAATGAGTATGTGTCGTTGAATAGACATAGTTGCCACGAGAAACTCGCTGGTTGCGTACAACGTGAATTCGAAGAATGTCCAAAACATACAAAATCTTGGACTAGCTGAGCTGACATAACCATGATAATAGAAGTGAAGAGGAAGAGGAAGATCAAAAGCTAATTGAATCAAATTGATCGTCAAAAGAATACAGAGAATTTGATTCTGTGGAGAACGTAGAACTGGACGATGTGTGAAAAGAAAGACGAAAATGAGTAGAGAAATTAGAATAGCTGGAATTTGCAGGACAAGTATTAACCAGAATTTGACTTGATGAAGAATAAATTTCTGGTCCACAAATACTTCCATATCAGTCGTATTCAGATTTGCCATCCTTTGAAAGTAAACTTACGTTTAATCTATTCAGCTATCAAACATTCCATAAGATACGCGTATTTCCTCTGTATATTTCTCAATGTGTACATGCATATCGCGCTTCTCACAATGCTGTCATTATCTCTTACGATAAGTTGTCAATCTCATGGGTAACTGGAATAAATGCATGAAAGCGTATTGTTTAATTGTCACGACAACACATATATTTTTTGTGGTGTATTCCATCGTGTAGCGAGCGGTAGCATCAAGCCTGAATTAACATTTGCTCATGTTCATTAAACATGACAAACAAAATTTGAATGATATGGCAGTTTTTATGAGAAAATTATTTTTCTAGGTAATTACCTGAAAAGAATATTTTGTTATCATCTGATCTTTACCCGAAATTCGTTTGAATTTTTTTAAATCGTAAAACCTTCACCAATTTATTTTAGGCAATAACATATATCAACTAAGCAAGCACACGAGATAATGTAATATTTTAGAACGTACTCTGAAATCGACCATGAATCACATTTTCACAACTACGTCAAAGTTCATCGTGTTGATAGAATTCTCTTGATCCATTTGTCAAGTTCCTGATTAACAGCATTCGGATTTTCTTCCATCACCCAGTGACCAGTATCCACTGCAATTGTCTCCAAATCGACAATGTATGGATTTGGTCCTTCTAAGAAAGCGATAAGACTTACATAATCTTTTGTTCCTCCCATAAGAAGTACAGGTTGTCTAATAATCGGATCGAGATTCTTTTCAACATTCCATTCAATATTCGCAATCTCCGCTTTGTACCAATTTAGTTTAGGTTGCATTCCCTCAGCAAGATATCGTCGAAAGATTTCATAATCTTCTTCCGTCATATACGAACCTCGAGTAGTTCGATTTCCATTGATTAACCAGTTTCGAGCTTTTCCAACAGGAGCTAAATCTGTTTTCCAAAGTGTCGAATCACTGGCAAAGGCAAGATCAATGAAGCTGTCCAAATTATTTTCGATGATCTCTGCTGCATCTTCTGCATCAAAAAATTTCCAATAACCCAATATTTCGTATCCAATAGTTTCGCGTGAAGCCTCAATTGCTTTGTCAAGATCGAATAACGCTGGTGCAGAATATCCACCACTGATCAGCGCAACACCTAATGTTTGTTGAGGATGATACAAAACGAAACGATTTGCTAGATGAGTTCCCCAATCGTGCCCAACGACAATAACATGACTGACGTGCAAATGATTGAGTAGAGTAATGAGATGTTCAGTCATTGACTTCATCTTGTATTCGTCTCTGTTCAAGGGTGAGTATGTCTTACCGTAGCCCATCAAGTTCGGCGCGAGAGAATCGTATCCTTGCCGTGAAAAATATCCAATTTGATGACGCCAACTGTGAAATGACGATGGAAATCCGTGAATAAACAAGATAGTTGCCTTTGTAATACCATTCTCGTCTCCTTTAACATAAATGTACTCGTAATTAATGCCGGGAGAAACTTCATAGTTCTGTGGTGTCAATACTAGAGGAGAATATCGCTCACGAGTGTTGACATCATCAATATTACTCAATGACACCGAAGATACAATAACGAAAAGTGACAACAAATTAATACTGTAGTTTATAACAGTACTCATTTCTTTGTTCTTATTTTCGTGAAGTAAATGATGTATACAATGACAAACAACAAAATATATCTTAATACCATACTTTTTTTCATTCATCCTTTAATTCCTTTCTTTTCTATTCGTCCCACTAATACTGTATTCTATTAATCTATTATTATTCATAGTACCAACATAATCCAACTAACACCGGTGATCGACAGTGACATTTTTATTAAAAAGAATCTATTCTAGATACTCGTATTGTTTGATGGAGATAAATTTGGCCTATACTTCAAAGTATTTATACTACGACAAGGGCATTTTCAAGCAAATAGAACATTTCTTCTTGATAAGAAAGAAAATAAATGAATCGACTTTATAACTCTACTTTGTTATCTTGTTTTTTTTTAAATATCTACAAAGTCTACTTGAACAAATAGTTTTTGTTAATATTTGAAAATGAAAGCTGCTCGTTATTATGGTGCAAAAGATATTCGCATAGAAGAAGTTCCAATTCCTTCAGTGAAGAAAAATCAAATCAAAATTCAAGTGAAATATGCTGGTATTTGTGGATCAGATTTACATGAATATTCTCGTGGTCCAATAACAATTCCTTTGAAAAAACCTTATCCATTAAATGGACACGAAGGTGCAACAATTATGGGACATGAATTATCTGGTGTTGTCGTTGAAATCGGAGATAACGTTGATTGTAATAACATCAAGATAGGTGATCGTGTTGTTGTTGAGCCATTCTTTCGAAATCCAAGTAGTTTTTATACACAAAATGGTCAATATAATCTTTCAGATCCAGTTGGTGGTATTGGCATAACAGGAAATGGTGCTTTTGCGAAATATTGCGTTGTTGAAGATTATATGGTACATAAAATACCAGATAATGTTACTTTTAAACAAGGCGCATTAGTCGAACCAGCTGCAGTGGCTGTTTATGCTGTGCAAAGTAGTGGTTTAAAATTAGGTACGTTTTTATTATCGTTTTAGAAAGAATTCATTGATCAATTCTAGACGAAACATGTGTAATCTTTGGTGCTGGTCCACTCGGTTTACTTTGTCTTCAAGCTGCAATGATTGTCGGTGTTAGTCGCACTGCTATTGTAGATATTGCTGAGAAACGTCTGGAAAAAGCGCGTGAATTGGGTGCGACATTAGTTATTAATGGAAACGATGATAATGTTCCTCAACAAGTTAAACATTTGACTGATGGTCTTGGTGCACACGTTTATTTCGATGCAACTGGTGTCGAGGCAACATTTACTACAGGTATCGCATCTTTGAGAAAAGGTGGTCGAGCTATGCTACTTGCAGCATGTGCACAAATGGTACCGCTGAATACAATGGATATAGTTGTGCGTGAAATAAGAATTCAAGGAATTCTTGGTTATCCAAATATGTTTCCTCAAACAATTCAATTGATTGATCAGAACAAAATGAAGGTTGAACGAATTATCACAAAAACGATTCAATTAGATGAAATAGTTAGCGAAGGATTTGAAGTTTTATTGGATCATCCTCCAGAGGCAAAAATTCTAGTCGATATGGACTTATCTTAGGCCATGATCGACATTGATTTTCACGGTAGTTTTCGGACGAAGATGTGAACGTACATTCACGATGTTTTCTCATTCACAACCACAAGATGTATGACATTGGTTTGATTTATTTTTAAGAAATAAAATTGAAGAGTAAAAATCATTTGGATGTGACTCAATGTTAAGGGACTTTTCAAATGACTTATGCGAACTATTAATACCTTTTAGAATAATGAAAAAGCATTGTCAAATACAACACTTTTACAGGGGGGTGGGGATTGGCTCATCAACTTTGGTATTTTTAACAGTTTTTGTTGAACTGGTGATTTGTTAAAATGATTTAGTTACGATATTCGTGATCAGTGTTAAATTCTGAGCAAAATAGAAGAAAGTTTGCTGATTTTGACTAGAGTTGAAAAAAAATTTTTTTTACTCGATCCTGTGGTCCTCCAGGGGCATCCGTCAAAAAAGTAAAAAAAATAAAAAGAGGTTTTTCGGTGGAAACAAGTACATCATTTTACTCAGAATTTGATGCTGACTCCGAATAACGAATTATTTTTGAAAAAGATTGTTGTTAAAAATCGCTCTCCCATTGTTTATCCTTTTTTTATGAGTAGGACTCATATGATATTGAAAAATTCTTAGAGATATGAGTGAGAAAATGGTTCAGTCTTGTTTAGTTTTCCAAGAGGAATCATTCTGTAAAAAAAATATCATTGATATATTTTCTTATTTTAGAACAAATTTATTTTTAATAATGTCCACTGTTTTTTAACGTCTTTATCCAATTACCCCGTATGGGGCAATAGGAAATATTTTTTTATAATTTTTTTTTCAATTATACCCAAACAAAAGATATTTGAAGCGAATTTTTAAAATGAAAAATAGTTAGCAATCGTAGACTGTAACTCAGTCTACCAATTTATGAAAAAATTTTCTAATAATGTCTTTTAATTGTTGAAAAAAGTTAATTTTACTCGTCTCTAGTGAAATATACGGATTTATTCAATTTCCCTCTCTCCTTTGCATATCTATCCATTTACCCCGTGTGGAGCAATTGGAAAGGCAGATGGAAATACGTACCTGTAAGTCAAAACCAGGCGATTTTTGCATAGATATATAGAGCGGCATTGATTCCATCTACCTATAAAGTTTCAGAAAAAAATATCCAGGTTTGAAAATGTTACAGGAAAAAGAAAAAACATATCCAGTTGCCCCACTTTACTCTATATCTCTAACATGTTGTTTTATTTAACAAACAGAAAAGTCATGTAACTTGGTTTAGGCTAAACTTTACTATTTGTTGGAAAGAAACGAATGAGTAATATATCGACAAGAACAATATTTACACGACGCGACGAAGATAAGAACGAGAAAGGAAGTATTTATCATACGACACATTGACGTGGCATACAATACGGTTTCCATTATTTCGACGCATATAAAAAGATTGGAAGCGTCTGGTTGATTAATACGATAAAAATAAGATGTCTTTTCATACTGTTATTATCGACGATGAACTTGAACCTGCTAAAGTTCAATTTTCACCCGAGCAATCATTATCTTCTGTGACAAACTATTGGCTTTCTAAAGTGGAGGAAAATCAAGATTTACGTCCACATGAATCATTTCAAAATTATTCGTCCTTATATACAGTTTCTAATGGGCCACATACAGAAACATCAACAAATGCTGTGTTACAAGCCTTTATTTCAGCCTACAATCAACACCATGATTTAGTGTTATCTCCGGATGATATGTGGATGGTAGTGTGTATGAAGTTTGCCGATTATGTCAATGACAATGCTGAGAAATTACGCTCTCTCTTTGTCGAGCATCAGGAAGGGAAAATAAAGTTAACTGTGGCAGATCTTCTCGGAGAAAGGGAATGGGATGAATTCTTCAACGGAATGAAAGTGAAAATAATGAAAAATGTCAAAGGTGATGTTTGTAATGTGTTAGCGGCAGATTTTACAACCACCGGTAAAGTTGAATCGATTCTTTCAACGGCATGTATTATGCATGCGTTCAAACCCTACTTCGACTACCGTCGAGTGATGTGCATCTGTGGCATTCGACAAGTGCATTTCATGGGTAGGTATATGAGGATGAAATATAGTGTAATACATCCTAATAGAGTTTTACTCAAGCGAAAGATATATTATTGAAGATAATAGTGTTGTAGAGCAATGACAAATGAATAATGTTTCTCTTTTTAGGCACTCTTAATGATTGGCAATCACTTTATACGAAAGCGCAACAATTACGATCATTCAGCAACGACAAATTTCGTCTCTATATCGATGGTATTTTGCCGATCTTCAATGAGTTCATCGAAACCTACCAAGGCAATGTAAATAAACAGTTCTGGATTAAAGTATGTGATATCACACGAGATACAGGCTTGAGATATGGCGGTGGAGGATCGGGAAAACTAATCACTGGGTGGGTTCTGAAGCTGTTTGGTTTGTCGACTGATCGAACGATCGATCCGACTTATATAAAGCTACCGAATATTCGTGTTCCAGTTAAGCTTGAAGACGAGAAAAGCGGCAAAGTAACGCAGTGTTATATTGTTGGTGGCTTTCATGGCATTTACTCGGTAGAGAATCGACACAAACCTGTGATGAGTTTATCGGTCATCCAAGAGACGAAACCATCTGTATCAAAAGAGGAATTCATGGCTAGACTCGAACATGAGTCGAATTTTGAAGAGTAGAGATTGATGTTCATTTTCGAAGTTACATAAACATTTCTTTCATTTTATATTACTTTAGAGAGTTTTGCTTTGAAATAAGTTTATAATGCAAATTAATTATCTACCAAAAAATAAAAACTTTAACCAAATCGAAATGTATGACGGTGAGGGTTCGCTGGATTAAAGGGTCTAAAGAATTTTATAGATTAAATATAAAATACACCGGGATAAAATTTATTATTCGTGGACCCTTCATATTTTTCTAATGCAAAATTTTCTTCGAAATAATGGATCTTATTGAATAAATCAAAATATTAACTTGAAATGAGGAAAAGTGTTCGTATTTTTTAGTATCTGAAAGATTCCTACCTATTAGGCATTAAATGATCAATGACTACGGTGAAAAAGGTCTTTCAAATGTGAAATTATTTGATTTCAATATATGCTTAAAGAAAAGATCAATTTAACGAAAATTGAATGATTTTATTTGAAGAATTGAAAAATGAAGTAAAAAAAGAACTGAAAACGATAGATTTCTTTGCTTTTTTTCTTCAATATCTATTAAACTTCATCATGATTTTGTCCAAAGATCTCTTTTACACAAAAAACTGTCAATACAATCCTTCAGATCCGGTCAGTGGAATGGATTTAACGGTGAATGATACTTTTGCAAAACATTATCTTGTAAAAGATTATATAATATATAAAATACCAGATAATGTTATATTTGAAGAAGGCGAATTAATCGAACCAGCTGCTGTGCAAAGTAGTGATTTAAAATTAGGTAAGGTTGGCGACAGGCAAAAGTGGAGCAGATTTTTTTTTGTTGAATTTTTTATGTGATATGATGCAGCTTGATGCGCTGAATCCGAATATGTATAATTTAATGACATAGAAAGTCGTCTTCCAGGAGAAATCTTCAAAATACTACAAAAACCGAGGTTTTCGAAAAATCAGGATTTCCACTCGAAATTTGACAGTAGGGCTTTCAAAAAGTATGTTATACCTTTGGAAGTTTCTGCTCCTGATTCAGCATCAAAAACTGATTCTAGGACACTACTTTTTAGCGATTCGACTCATGTCTTTGTCATTGAGAAAAGTCAGTTTTGTTAATATGAGGACGAATTGAGTGCCTCTCGTTAAAAATGCATCAACTCATTTTCTATTAAAGATATACATTTTTTTCTTTCATCGTTCGACTTCCTAGATGCCCTAGATATAATCTACGTATCCTTTTCCCTTAATCCACTTTCATTCCCAAGATTTCATCATTTTTTCCACGTGTTCTATCGGAATTTTTTTTCTTTGATTTTTAACACTATTTTCGCTTTATTTTCTTCTTTTTGAGCAACTTATATGTTTATAATGATAAAGATCTTTCTAATGACTATTTCTTTTGAATACCTATTGAAATATCCTTAGGGTGAACAGACGCGGTAAACAAAAAAATCAGTCATCTAGCCTGGTATTAGTGATTTGACGATGTGAAATCACGTTAGCTTTGCACATGGAACTGAAATACATTTTCAGTACATCTTCGTATGAGTCACCACGTTCATATGCGATCAAAGTACGCCAGAATCTTCTGATAAGTTTAAAAGAAACATTTTTCTCAATAAAATTCGTTCTGGATTTTTGAATTAACTTGAGCATTGTAGGAAACGTTTGATCCGTTCGACGTCTAATATACTGCTTCAAATGTGCCCATAGTCCTTCTATTGGATTCAACTCGCAATGAAATTTCGGCGAGAAAGTTATTGTTACACCATATTCACTAGCAGCTATTTCCAATTTTGAAACCTTCAAGTTAGAACAGTATATTAGTCAATCACATGTAATTTGAGATCATCATTCGTAGAATACTCACGTTCTTAAATGCTTCATGTAAATTAAGTAGGCGTTTCAGCTCTTCTAATTTTACTTTTGGTGGAATGTCAATGTCCAACTCCTTAGCCAAGTTAAGTAAACCTTTTGATTGCCCTTTGTTTACACCAGTTGTGAAAAAACAGTCAATGGTAAGTTGTTTGCCATGCTTATCTCTGTAGAATATTTTCTCAGTTGAACAACGAGTTCCGGGCTTCATTCCAAAATCTTCAACAGAATATTGTTTAGCACTATGCGTGCGAGCATTATCGACAATGACATGAAACTTGTGATTTGCGTAAGCTTTTTTGAACGGTAACATTTTGAATAAACGAGTGAATTGATTAATGATCGCATCATTATCAAAATATCCACCGTAGCCCACCTGAATCGACCCAGAAGCTGATCGTTCAATATATTGAATTCCATCATCTTCGAGTAATTCCGGATGTTTCTTTACAGCTGCTGCCCATTCGTCTTGAGAAAGCTGGAAGAAAGGACTTTCAGGATGTGCAATCAAAAAGTCTGACACCATCAGCGATCGTCCTCGGCCCTTATTGAAAAACGAGATAGTATCGTCGGAATAGAACCATCGTTTAGCAGCTGTTTCACCACTTCTGAAGCACGATTCATCATGAACTATAGAAAGAAAAAAACCTGTCTTTTAAGGCTATGAAAAAAGAACTATACATATCAGAACAGTTTGACTTTTCTTTGGGATGTTCCATCGCGGATCTTTTCCTTCTTCAACTCGATAATATTTATCCTGGTTTGTTAGAAAGTTGTTTACGAATTTTGTTCGCGCATCAACGACATCAGGTCTTTCATGGCCAGCCCAATATGGTTTCGCTGTATTTTTGTCGAATTTACACCCCCAACGATTCAAGTCTCGACAGCAACCTCTTTCTGATCGAATTAATTCTTTCGTGGTTTTGGTCTATATGCAACAAAAAAACATAAATAGATGGAAGAAATAAAATACTTCTTACCTCTCCAGTTAGTTTATAATATTCATCATCTACATAACTTGCCAGTTCAGAACAAGTGAAAGATGCTGATTTTCTTTTACAGCCATTCAAAGCGTATAATTTGGCTAAACTTTCTAATTCAGGATAAGTGTCGTAAAAGCTTTCTTCATGTTTACCACCTCTGTTGTCTTGCAGAAATTCTTCTAAGTCTTGTTCGATTATATCTGTACACCATTTGTTGCAAGTCTTCGCGGTAAGTCCACCGATCGCTTTTAGAAATAAATCAATATCTCGCCAAGGTATCCCGAAATACACCAATGATAAATAAACTAATACAGATAGCGGCCGAATGGAAGTCTCTTCCGACAATGCCTCAAATAAGTTTCCAATATCCAAAACGCTCATTTTGTTCTTTAAACAACTATTTTCTTTGTTATTTTCATTTGAGTCATGCAGATCGGTCGGGATATCCGGAACAAAAGCATCATCTAATTCATCAACATTTTTCTTAGCCCAACGACTTTTTATAGCTGCGGTTGATTGAGATCTTCTTTTCGATTTTTGAGGCATAACGAGAAAGAGTGAAGTTACGAGATCCGAAAGATTTTGCGAGGATAGAATGCAAAAAATTTGACAGTGATTTTCTAGTTTTTCCCCTAATACTTATTTTCGATCTTGTCATACCGAATACACTTATCAATGGCTACGAGCTAGACGTATAGTGAAGTGGAATTTCCCTTCACATATCATTCCAGTAGAGGACGCGCCACATTAAGAACTCCAAACACAACGAAAATAAATTCAGGGTGTCTGTTCACCTTAAGGATATTTCAATAAGTATTCAAAAGAAATAGTCATTAGAAAGATCTTTATCATTATAAACATATAAGTTGCTCAAAAAGAAGAAATTAAAGCGAAAATAGTGTTAAA